CTTCCTTTTCTTAATGTTTTACCTCCCTTACCAGGGTAAATAACTAAGATTAATTTAGTTTTAGCTTTAGTTATGCACGAAATTAAAATTTCTGTTTTTCCAAAGGTTTATGATTCTTTTAGTTTAACAATGAATTTTTACTGGATTCTTTTCTGCACTTTAGATAACACGTAACTTAAGCAGTGGTACAAAGTATGCATTCAATAAGTTAGGGAAAAGAATCCTTTGCAAATATAATCCTATAAAGTGGTCTAACAATTTGTGAACCAGAAACATTGGCCCTGCCCCCTCTTAACAGTGCTGCCTCTGAACATGCCCACAAATCTCTTGCTTACTCTATGACCAACTGTTGATTCATAAATCGACGCACTCTGTGATCTCCCTGGTTCAATATTGCCATCATACACACTTTTTATTATTACTTCATGGAACCGTTTTTCTTTCTGTTGAGAGAGGAAATAATCTTGTTCCTTTATTTTACTTATTTCGGAAATGACCTAACTTTCATCTGAGCTATAAACGTTCTATCTCAAATTGGGGAAAGAAAGAGGTAATATTGGGGAGGAGCAATAAGGAATATGTGTAAGCACTGCTTTATGAAGATTTTCTCTGAAAATATTGAACTTACAAACTGGATGAATGTTTCTTTCACAGGAGTTGATTTCTCAGTTGTAGAGTCCCTGAAGCTTTAGAAAGGACTCAAGACTGGAGAATCCATTTTTTATGTCAGTTAGCAATATTATGTCTTCTCAGGGGTGATTTGTGCACTGCATAAATTATTCCCTTGTTTTCTTCCTAATTCTTCCATTAACACCCTCCCATCTCTAGTCTCTTACTACTATTTTGTCAAAACCAAAAACCAAACCCATTGCCGTCAAGTCAATTCTGACTCATAGCAACCCATAGGACAGAGTAGAACTGCCCCATAGGGTTTCCAGAGAGCAGCTGGTAGATTGGAACTGCCGACTTTTTGGTTAGCAGCTGTAGCTGTTAACCACTGCACCACCAAGGCTCTGGGGAGAGGGAAATTTATGCTACACAATGAATGGAAGATTTCATCATATTTTCTTAATCGGTAGAGACTATTATCATAGGCCCATAGCTTGAATACCTTAAGGAGCAAGAGTGAATACCTCTGCACACAAGATTGGTGAGTCCAAAAGCCTCCTGACTCCCCCCACAATGGGACAAGGCTTGCTGAATTCTGTTTTTTTTTTTTATTCATTATGAAATAACTACCTGTTTCTGTGAAAGTTGATCTTTGTGGCAGTCTAATCCATCATCCTATTTGGGGCCTTTTAGAATGCATCCTTAAAGGATTATTGAAATTTATGGGTAAAATGTAAGTTGCTATACAGAAGTTTATTATACCTGTAACTTTTCACAAGACAGTTTTTCAAAAAAGAAATATCTGCAGTTGAGTAATAGAGTCCAATTAGGCATTGCAGAAAAGGAACAGCTGGTGACAAAGAAGAGGAGGTTAATTATAATAAACGGTAGCACATTATAAGAAGAAGTTTGTGTTAAGAGGCTGTGTCAAATGCTGTATGTATAAAATGTCACTCAGCAGCATCCTAGACCAATTTAAAGACATGTTATCTATAGTGCAGAGGTTAAGCGCTCAGCTGATAAGAGAAAGGTTGGCAGTGCGAACCTATCCAGCAGCTCTGTGGGAGAAAGACCTGACAATCTGCTTCCATAAAGATTACAGCCAAGAAAACCTGGTGGGGCAATTCTGTTTTGTCACATGGGGTCACTATGAGTTGAAATTGACTCGATGACACCTAGCAACAACAGCAATCTACTTATAGCAGAGTCCTCCCACCAAGATACATTTATTTAAACATGACACAAAATTAATAGGGAAGGAGAAGAGACTGAAATTTCTTTTACGACTACTTTCCAGCCTTGGTATAATTTAACCTGATTTTTTGTGCAGGGTGCTGTAATTGATAGTTGCTCATATTCAAGAGAAGGATATGTTCTTAACACTGACCATAAACGACACAGGCGCAAAATGTCTCTAGGTCTGGTAATGTAGGAATGTAGTTGGGGTTGTTTTTTAAAATACTTATACCTCAGATTGTATATGGCTTTAAAGTGTGTAAAGTGCTTTCATAAACTTACTCCACTTGGGCTTTGCAAACAACACAAGGAGGCAGACAAGTTAGGGACATACTATCCAGACTGTACAGATAGATAAATGTTTTCTTTGCAGATGAGAAGTAAGTCCAGAGAGTTATAGTGACTTGTTAGGGACACACAGAGCCCTAGATTCTTTGACTTGTCATCCAGCACATTTTCTTCTAAGTCTGTCCACAGATTTCATATGTCCTGTTGAAAATACGATTCTCCAGGTTTTTTGTTAGAATATCAAGTTTATGAAAGAAACTTATTGAGCTTTTATGTAAGCAGAACTTGGAAACACAAACGTATTTAGTTTGGTATCATTAAAGCTGGGCTGGTGCTGTGATACTTGGTTGGATTGCTCTTCCTGAGCCCCTCAGCTTCATTTAGCAACATGAAGAAATGGCTTCAGGCTGTTGAGTAAGGGTGTCCCACGTCTTCCTGAGGCCGAGGATGTTCACAACAGCCCATCTGATATTTCCTTGTTTAGGTTTGCAGCACTGAAGTTAGGTAAGAGGATGGAACTCAATGGACTAAGTATAACAATGATTGTGAGGATGGCGCAGGACCAGACAGTTTCGTTCTGTTGTACATAGGGTCGCTGTGAGTCAGAACCTACTCAAGGGCACCTAACAACAGCAACAAGAGAATGGACTTATCAAGTTCCATTGGGGCAGAAAAAGGGATCAGTAGAGAAGACCCAGAAGGCCTTTCTCTGACCAGGAACTCCCAGCCTGCTCCTTTCTCTCAGGGCTTCAAACCATTTTATTCTGCTTCGAACCCCTACTGAGAATGTGCATTTCCACCCCAGATATACTGAATCAGAATCTACATTCTAAGAAGATACCCAGGTGATTCTTACGTATAATAAATTTTGAGAACCACTGCTCTACTAGAGGTTCTCAGAATTGGCCCCTAACCAGCAACATTAACATCACTTGGGAACTTGTTAGAAATACAAATTCTAAAATTAAAAAAAAATTTTAAACTTGTATTGACCAAAAGCTCCCTACAGACTTCAGACACATGTGAAGTTGTAGTGGGGTAATGCCCTGGAATTTATGTTGATTTTATCTTTTCATTTATAGGCACTTTACATGAGAAGTTTCCCTGATGTGATGAGAAACACAGCAGTTATATAGCTATAAATATAGCAGTTCCTTCCTTTTTTTTCTTTCAGTGAGTTTAGTACAAATTAAATACTTCTTTAATCTTCTCTTTTATATGTCCCCAAATGACCTGTCATCTTTAGCCCCCAATGATAATGTTTACTGTTCCCTAAGTGGGCCTTTGCTTTTCCTAGTTCTCCAGCCTGGATCCTCATCTTCTGGCTTTACCTTTGGAAGTCATGTCTGTCATCCAATGCTCATCTTGAGTTCCACCTTCTCTGCCAGTCTTCCCAGACATCCTCAATCTATAGTAACATTTTCTTTCTCTGAGAAACCGTAGCTCCTGCTGTCCATATCACTCTTTCGACTTTCACTGTGTGCATACATGCATGTGCACCCAGCCTGATAGTGTTTCTTTTCAAATGTGTACATGTCGTTTTATCAACAAGATTGGCAGGTCTTGATGGGTATTGTTTAGAATTTTAGATGGCTCTATAAAGTTTTGTTTACTCCTCTGTTATCATTAAACATTCAGCACTCTTAGATTACTGCTCTAAGCCAAAGCCCTCACTGGTTTCCCTTTGTTCCTTCCGTTAATGTCAAGTCCCAGTCCTGGACTGAAGGATGACTCTGGTCAGCTGGGCCTAGCATCACTACTCTCTTACCTTACCAGATCCAGCCCTCTCCTTAGCCAGATGGACCCACCCTTGAGACTCCACAAATGCCTTCCATTCCTTGTTTCCATGACAACATATATGCCATCTTTTCTGATATGATGACCTGTTTTGTCTTTTCTAAATTATGATTCCCCAACCTCATTGAGGCCCTTATACCACTAGCTTTTCTAGTTTGTGTCCCCCAGGTCTCTTTTCATTTTAACCTCTAGGAGTAACAGTAATGACAGCTATCTCTTACTGAGAGTTTTCTATGTGCCAGAGGGTGGTGCAAACAGTTAAAGTACTCGGCTGCTAATCAAAAGATTGGAGGTTCCAGTTCACCCAGAGTTGCTTCAGAAGAAAGTCCTGGTGATATACTTCTTAAAAATCAGTCATTGAAAACACTGTGGAGCAAAGTTCTACTCTGACTCACATAGGGTCGCCACCGGTTGGGGTTGACTTGAAGGCAACTGTTCCCCCCTGCCCTCCCCCACCCACCACGTGCCAGACAGAAAATGGCTACATTACTTTGCATGCTCTCAGTTACTCCTCACAACCTAGAAGATAGAGACATTGCCCTCACCGCCCTGTATTTATCTCATTCTACTATTACATAAGATACACTAATGACTATTTTTTGCCAGATGCCGTTATGATCTACATGTGGATTTACACACTCTGATTAGCAGCCACTACCTTTTGTTTCTAGCTGTGTAGAGTACAGCAGGCTGCTTATTCCCCTCCCAGGACATGAGTGAAGTTGTGCTCAGAGAAAGAAAACTCATTTTAACCTTTTCCCAAATATCATGGCTGATCAGGTAATTCTGCAGCATAAATATTTGGCAGAAATGATTTTTAATTATTCAGTTTTTGAATTTTTTATGTTTATGCTATTTTCCTTAAACCACAGACAATACTTTTGTGTTTTTCTATCTAATGGTAAACTTCTCAGATGCAGGAACTTAGTCTGTACTCTCTGAAATTTCTAATTGCTAATACAATTGTTAATAAAAATTTTCCCACGTGGAGAGGTTTGATAAAAATTATTTAATTGATTGGTTTTGTATTAACTTTTTCTTTACTTTTTTTTTTCTTTCTATTTTTTCAGGAAATCATTTGCCAGAAGAATACCGTGAGTATTTTACTTAAACTTTTCAGAAATTTTTTATCTATCCTTTTCTATCAACTAATCTCTGACATTTTTTCATTTTTACAAATTATTAATTCTTCGTTATTCCTGTTTAGAGTTTCTGACATTTTAATATAAATATGGTTATTTTATCTAAATGTTCTATTTTAATGTGACTTATTAATAATAATAAACACTAATACCTGTTTTTTGCTATATATAATAATAATGTTTTGGGAAAAAAATCCATACTGTATCCAATGCTGTAGAATTATAAGTGATGCAAAAGCAGTATACACACAGACATACGTGTATGTGTCTATATATAGATGTGTATGTATGCATATGTATAGATATATATATAGAGAGAGAGAAAGAGGAAGGAGAGAGAGAGAGAGAGATTAATTTAAGGTCCCAAGTATCTAGTCGGCCTTTGAGATCACTCTACAGAATTCCTTCCCCCCCACCACAGAATTGAAACAGAAGGTAAGAAGCAAGGAATAAAAATAAATTTTTAAAATACTGCATGAAGAAAAATATTAATATACAGTGGAAACAGCCTTGTTATACCAATGGTTTTATTTTTCATTTTAGAAAGTAAGCCAGTATTTTAAAACCTTAAAGAACGTTTATCTCCAGCTTAGAGTAGGAGTAATATACTACATGAAGATCTGCATACGATTCAATTTAAGATGATGAGATGAAAAATACAATTGATAGTTTTTCCTTGGGTCCAAAATTAAAACATTTCTGCTTGAGATTTCACCTGGACAGAGACTCACAGCAGCATAAATAATGTCACCGTTATAAACACTTACCCTTTGCATCTCAACAGGAAATGAGCAATTATTGCTTCATGCTTCAGTTCAGGGTAACAAATTTTATTAAACAAATGTTGATTGACCATGTCCTCTATGCCAGGCTTTGGGCTTGGTGCCCCTAGGGATGTCCAGTTCAGTTTGATTTGGAGGTTGAAAGTGGAAACAACCGTATTTGTATTTTTTCCATGAGTCAACAAATGAGAAGTGCCACATTCTAGTTGGGGAGATGGTCAACAGACAAATAAACAAATGAGAAAACTAATGCAGGGCGATGTGCTACCTCCAGGTAGTCATGGAAGGCCTTTCAGAGGAGGTAGCATTTACCAGGGGCATCCTTGGGTAGTGCAAATAGTTAATGGATGTGCTTGGCTGCTAATCGAAAGGTTGGAGAGTTGAATCCACCCAGAGAGGCCTCAGAGGACAGACCTGGCAATTTACTTCTGAAAAATCAGCCATTGAAAACCCTGCGGAGCACAGTCCTACTCTGACACAACGTGGGGTTGCCATGAGTCAGAATCAGCTAGACGGCAACTGGTACTGGTAGCATTTACCTGAGACCTGAGTTACAGGAAGGTGCCAGTCATGCCCAGCAATGGTTTTGATGTGTGAGGAAGCAGGTTGATAAAAGGACCAAATATTGCACATTATGAGCACAGTGGCCACTGAGCTGAGAAAACTCTTGTTGTGTTTTGGGTGTCAAGTGTCCTTATAAAAAGTTGAATATTTTGAGCATATATTTAAATATGTTGAAATGCTGAGAGCATTTCTCCCCAGAAACTTGATTCATTTTCCACACACACTTAGTTCACTTTTATGTAGCCTTTATAAATTGGAAAACAGACTGAGCATTATTGATTTTTTTTAAACTAGTGAAGTTAATTAGGTAGTATACGACTGGATTTTGAGCTAAGGGTTTCTAGAACAAGCATGAGCCAGAGAGATCGATTTTGTTATTTTTATGACCATAGCTTATTGTTTTGAAATTGAAGGAAATGTGGTCTTTTTCTTTCAAGAAGCAAGTTTAAATAGTTTAGAATTACTACCTTATTAATAAAAGGTTGTTGCTGCACCTGAGGTATCTGCTGTTGATCACACTGTGATTGTTTTTAATTGCTTTGGAGTTTTGCTTTAGTTATTTCAAACTCTGGGTTCATTAGTACCATGCAAACAGCTTGCATTAGTAACTTTTCTAAGTTATATGCTGGCCAACTTGGGAAATAAATGTTCCCATAGTATTGTTGTTCTTAGATGATGTTGAGTCAATTCCGACTTGTAGAGACCTTGTATGACAGAGTAGAACTGCTCCATAGGGTTTTCCTGGGCTGTAATCTTTATGGGAACAGATTACCAGGTCTTTTCTCTGTCAGAGCGGCTGAGTTCGAACCAACGACCTTTCAGTTAGTGCTGAGTGCTTAACCATTGTGCCACCAGGGTTCCTGCCATATTATTAGTTTTCTTCATTTTGGAAAAGTGCTTTTTTCAGCAGTTAGTATCTATTTAAAAAATACAACACCACCACAACCAACCCTCACATTTTCCCCCCAGTATGTGCTGGGATCTGTTTTTTCAGCTTAGGCCTAATTGTACCCATGTGTCTCCTGCAGCTTATCTCTCTCCCCTTCTTTTCTGACATAATAATTGCAGTCCCTGGGTAGTGCAAAATGGTTAATGGTGCTCGGCTGCTAAACAAAAGTTTGTAGGTTTGAGTCCACCCAGAAGCTCCTCAGAAGAAGGCCTGGTGATCTACTTCCAAAAAGTCAGCCATCGAAAACCGCATGTAACACAGTTCTACTCTGACACACATGGGGTTACCATGAGTCATTGATAGCAACTGTTAATAACTGGAAATTGAAAAAAAAAAAATCTGTTGCCTTAGGAACGTAAGGAAGGGACTCCTATGAGTCTCTAAGTTCCAGTGAAACCAGAAACTTAAGAAAATTTGAATATTTTCAACAAGGATTCTGAGACCTTATATCATACATAGAGTTTGAAGAAGACTGTTCCAGGAATCTGTTGTTTCTCTGTTTTTTTTTGTGTAACTCTAACTTTTTTCTCTTTACCCCCTCACTGCTTAATCCACACCCAGACATCTGCTAGTCATTCTTTCCCAGAATTAGTTTTACACAGATGCATTATTCCCCAGTGCCCAGTATTTCAATAATAATGTGTTATGTTTCATGTCTTATAAAGTGCAGATACATGTGGTATTAAGACTTCTGAGGATACACAACTTTATCCAGCAGCAGAAGAATAATATTCTATAACTTGAATAGTGTTTTTCTGGTTTATTGCCTTTTCATCTATTCTAATTTTGTGACTTAGAAGATTCAGAATATTTTCATTTGTAATGTTGAGTTATAGCACTTATCTAAAACAGAAACATTTGATTCTGTATCTGTCTTTTATAACCCATTCACTGTTTAATCTCTAGAAGCTTTGGAAAGCAACCTTTCTTCTTAGACCATGGCTTGAGTAAAAGGATTAAATTGGGTGGACATGCTACAGGATCTTGGTAACATTTTAGAAACAGAATATACTCATTTTCCCTCTTCCTGACTAGCCTTCCAGTTATTGTTCCATGAAAGAGTATTTGAAGAAGGTAACAATTTAATGTACTTGATTTAAAAATCAAATCTCAGACTATTGAGGTTCTTCTCATACTTTTAACTGGAAGTCAAGTCTTGTTGCTATTTCACTAACGTACAACAAGTGCCTCAGTGTATAATATGTTCATAAATAATTAAGTCTGCCTGTAAGGGCGTTTGGCACTGCTTGTCTGTTTGCTGTGAGGTGGTGAACTTGGCTGATGCGGGGTTACGAGGGAAGGTGACCTGAAGCACAGGGTTGGAGAGCAGGCATGCCAGCCTGGGAAGCCCACTGAGGAGGGTATGAGACTCCTTGGAGGTAATGGCATGAGGTCTAGAGAGAGAGAGTCCTTCGGCTAGAGTCCCAAACAAATTACAGACCAGCTGTGTGACCTCTCTACTCCTCACCTGTTTCCTCACCTGTAAAGTGGAGATAATAGCACCTTCCTCCATGAGTCACTGTGCACTTAGGACCAGTCCTTGGCACATGCGGGTCGTGAACAAATGTTTGCTCTATTAGTTTAGTTCTAAGGGTAAGAGGAGTTATGTATTGTTCTCCATAGTGCTGATAAGGCTGGAGACCAATAACTTAGACTCCTTGGGCTCCCTGTTTGTTTTTTTTTTAGTTGCTGTTGAGTCACTTCTGACTCAGGGTGACTCAATGTGTGCCAGAGTAGAACCTTGCTCTGTAAAGTTTTCAGTGGCTGATTTTTAGAAGTAAATCACTAGTAAATCTTTCAAGGCACCTCTGGGTGGACTGGAACAACCAACCTATCAGTTAGTAGTTGAGCACATTAACTGTTTGTACCACCCAGGAGCTCCCTAAATGATGATAAATAGGGTTTTTCACATATCACATTCTAGTTCTCAGCCCTCTGCTTTTTTCTTTCTCACTTGCCTCTCTCTCACAGGTCTCTCCCATTCCCTTAGATTCAACCATATCAGATAATTCCTCAGGTCTGTTTTTTACTTGAATTTCTTTTACATTCCAATCACATTATTTCCAACTTTCTTTTGGACATTTTCACTTAGGCATCCTGCTTCCCTTCAATCCCAACTTCTCTAAAAGTAGACACTCTAGCCTACCCACCCAATGGGTTCTGCTTTCTGAATTCTTGCTTTCTCTTAATGATAGCATTCTTTTTCAGGTAGCCCCAATTTAAGACTGTAGAGTTACTTAGACTCCTTTTTCTTTGTCTTTCTCAATATTATAACCAGTTACTACACCCTGTTGGTTTTCATTTTAACATTGAGTACATGCATCTGAATTACCACTGCTGCCCATCTGGTCGGAAACCCTGATGGCCTAGTGGTTAATAGCTACGGCTGCTAACCAAAAGATTGACAGTTGGAATCCACCAGGCACTCCTTGGAAACCACATGGGGCATTTCTACCCTGTCCTGTAGGGTCACTATGAGTTGGAATCAACTCCACGGCAATGAGTTTTGGCCCATCCAGTCATGCTTTGTAGCTGCCTACCTAATTTCCTCCAATTGTGCTTCTCTGTCTTTCAGTGTATCCTGTTATCTGTGCGAACTGTCAAAATGCATAGATTTGATTGTGCTTTTTTCCTTTCAATCCTTCCATCAGTCCCCGTGGCCCAGAATATATAATTTAAAATCTGTAGCTTTGCATTCAGTTCCTTTCCGTGAGCCCTAAGTTCTAGTCAGACTTCCTCACTCAGGGGTGCCCACTCCAATCTCCCCTTTCCTCTTCCCAGCTTTGCTTTTATTTGCAGTAGGTGCCCTCGCTTGGCATCTTCTAGGAGAAGATAGAAGGTCGGCATGCCTAGATCCTAATGAGTGAGGGCATGGGATGAGGTTAGAGAGATATGCAGGGTTGGGATCATTCAGGTCCTCATACACTACGTTGAGGTGATTTGTCTTTACTCCAGAGTAAGTAATGGGGTTTTAAGCAGCTGAAGGAGGTGATCTGATGTGGGTTGTTAAACAATCACTTTGACAACTGGGTAGAGAATAAATTGGAGGGCAAAAGTGGAAGCATGGAGACCAGTTAAAAGCCAGTTACAAGGGCTCAGTCAGGCCAGGTATGTTGGTGACATGGACTAAAGTGCTGACAGAGAAGATGGAGGAAAATGGACAAATATGAGCTCTGTTTTACAGTTAGAATAGACAGGACATTGACTGGATATGGGAGATGCAGGTAATGGAAGCGCCAAGGATATCTTCTGAGTCTCTGAGTAATTAGAGATGAGTGGAGCCATTGACTGAGCTAGAGCAGCCTGGAGGGAGTAGCTTCATTCTGATGTCACCCACATTATTGCCTGTCACGTGGGAATTGCTTAATAAATGTTAGCTCTTACTATTTTTAAGTGTGTATGCCATGTCTCTATGACTGAATATTAAGTTCTCCTAAGACCAAAGACTGTGTTTTAAACTACTTTGTTTTTCCTACTGCATACATCATGAAAGATGGTGCTATGAATGGAATTGTGTCCCCTAAAAATATGTGCTGTAAGTCCTAACCTCTATGCCTGTAGTTATAATCCCATTTGGGAATGGGTTGTCTTTTATGTTAATGAGGCAGGATTAGTGTAAGGTGTATCTGGAGCCAATCTCTTGAGATATAAAAGAGATTAAATGCAAGCTAGCAAAGAGATGGGAGAAGAGTGATGCCAAACACATAAAGATCGCCCAGGAGCAGAAGCTCAGAAGAGACGAGGACCTTCTTCCAGAGTTGGCAGAGAGAGAAAGCCCTCCTCTAGAGCTGTCACTCTGAATTAGGACTTCTAGCCTCCTGAACTGTGACAAACTAAATTTCTGTTTGTTAAAGCTACCTACTTACGGTATCTCTGTTATAGCAGCACGAGATAATTAAGACAGATAGTGAATAAGTATTTAATTGATTGATAGAAACTATTCCATGCTTTTTTTGTTTCATCTATAAGTCTTAATTATTTGAAGAGAGCAATTAAAGAAATTAGGGGAAATTTCCATTTTCATAGTTCCTAAGTAAGAAATGAGATTTTTCTATTTTCCTTTGCGTGCAGAAATGCTATTTAAAATGAGCCACTGACATAAGACATGGGATTACGTCAGTGTGGAGTCTACAGGCTTGCTCACCATCTTCTGTGCCTCTTCTCTCCACAGATGTGCACTGGGAACTACACGTTTGTTCCTTACATGATAACTCCACATAACAAGGTCTACTGCTGTGACAGCAGCTTCATGAAGGGGTTGACAGAGCTAATGCAACCGAACTTCGAGCTGCTTCTTGGACCCATCTGCTTACCTCTTGTGGATCGTTTTATTCAGCTTTTGAAGGTGGCACAAGCAAGTTCTAGGTAAAGTTTAATAGTGCCATTTGGTAATAATTTGTTGTTGTTAGTTGCCATTGAGTCGGCTCCGACTCATGCTGACCTTATGTATAACGGAACCAAACATTGCCCGGTCCTGTGCCATCTTCATGATTGTTGGTATGTTTGAGTCCAGGCTGTTGTGTCTGTCCACCTCATTGAGGGTTTCTCTCAATTTCTTCGACCCTCTTCTTTACCAAACATGATGTCCTTTTCTAGTGACTGGCCTTTCCTGATTTGTCCAAAGTAAGCAAGTCAAAGTCTCACTATCCTTGCTTCTAAGGATAATAATGAAGTGTTGTTCTATTCATATTTGGATGTTTTATCAGATGTACGTAGATATCCAGTACACAGCTAAGAATCGGGAAAAATGCATAGTACCTTGTAAGTGGGTAAATAGATGCTGTATAGCTCACATGTTACATGATTTTATTTACTTTACTCACAGAAGAACAAACTGATAGCAGCCCAATAAATAAATAAATAAACAACTGACTGTTAACTGCTTTACAGTATTGGTAGAGCTAAAGTATATTCAAAGCAAGTACAGAAACATCATTAGAATAACTATCCAGGGACTTTTAGTGTAAGTGCAAGAACTCTGCAAAAATTGCCGAGGGCATTTTATTATGTTTTAGTTAAGGACAATCACTTATATTAATAAATGATGATGCTGAGTCACAAAGTAAAGGTTGTATTGTGTTCAAAGCATAGGTACATCTAATTTATTTAGAATGATTTCTACTGAAAACAGTACGATGAAAAACAAAGTTCTGGCATTCTAAGGGATAACTTGCAGTTCCTTGGAAAATTTATTAATATGGAGTATCTCCACCTTTAATTTTTTCTGAAACAATAAAGGGTATTAAAAGAAATACATGCACTCCAGAATTTTTTAATAATGCCAGATCTATGAGACATTCATTCTGTGTATCTTAATGAATTGAAAGCCACTAATGCTATAAAGGAAACCCTGGTGGTGTAGTGGTGAAGAGCTACGGCCGCTAACCAAAAGGTTGGCAGTTCGAGTCCACCAGGCACTCCTTGGAAGCTTAATGCTGTAAATGTCATTCATTTTCTTATAAAATTATTGGTTTTTATTCAGATCGTTTGTAACTAAAAGCAAGTGTTAATTCTTTGAAATGTGTGTTTTCTCCCCAGCCAGTATTTCCGGGAATCTATACTCAATGATATTAGGAAAGCTCGTAACTTGTACACTGGTAAAGAATTGGCAGCTGAATTGGCAAGAATCCGGCAGCGAATAGACAATATCGAAGTCTTGACAGCAGATATTGTGATAAATCTCTTACTTTCTTACAGAGACATTCAGGTGAGAAGATGCTTATTGTCATGTAACATGCTGGAGGAAGAGAGTGTTAACTGCAAAACTTCCTGTCAGCTAATAAGTAATTCACGTTTCTACATGGGATTTTTTTAAATTGACTATCCTAGCTTTCCATCTGGAGCCCTAGTGGTGCGGAAGTTAAGAGCCCGGCTGCTAACCCTGTGGGCCAGTTCTGCTCTGTCCTATAGGATCACTAGGGGTCAGAATTGACTCCATGGCAACGAGTTTTTAGCTTTCCATCCCTTGATTTTAAGATGAATGAAAAAGATATGAGATAATCATCACTGATTGTGAAAGCCTCGTATGGTAAAGGTCTAACTCTTTTCTCCAAAAGAATAAAAAGAAAAAGCTGCAAGTATAGCTACACTGTGGACAGTCTGTTCTAGTCTGTTAGCCTCAGGCACACCTGTCAGTCAAGTAATGAAAGCTTTGTTCTGGCAAATAGCAGAAATTTTTAGAGCTTGTTGGGCATATCTTTTCCTCCTTGAAAATGTGTTTCTTGAAATTGATAGTGCTAGATTTAACTAGCCAGAAGCGAGAAATATTCAGTTGCTTAATTATAAACTTTTAAATTATATAATATAAAACACTGAAATGTTTTATCATTTCATGTTATGTCCTTTTCATTGACATGTCTTAATATTTTTAAAATGTCATAAGGAGAATAAAATCTCCTAATTTACTTATTAGGTTCCTTCAGTAAAGTTTAGTGGCATCTGGTTTCTTTTTCCCATGCCCAACCTCTCAGGTCCATGGAAAACTTTATGTAAGCAAGAGAGCTTCACAATATGCAAACCTGTGGCATTCAGGATCCATGGCCAGAGTAGCTTAAGTCAGGTCTCTTGTTGAAATGAAACCGTTTTATTACCTATAATAGAAGTTCAATCAGTTATTCCATGTCCTTGAAAATTATGGAAATTGTTTCCCTGAAAGTAATTGATAGAACACTGGATACCAAGAATTTGACTTCATGGAGATAAGTAAGCTGCCTAGACTTAGACCCACCAAAAACCAAACCCACTGCTGTTGAGTCGATTCCAAGTCATAGCGACCCCATAGGGTTTCTGAGGTTGTAAATCTCTACAGAAGCAGACTGCCACATCTTTCTCCCACAGAGCCACTGGTGGTTTCGAACTACCAACCTTTTGGTTAGTAGTGGATTGCTTTAGCCACTGTATCACCAGGGCTCCTAAGACTTAGATGGTATAGCATTATCATGCTAAGTTTTGTTTGTTTGTTCTTTCTGATGTAGTAAGTCTGTATTTTGTCTGATGTGGTAACTACACACAAACACACATACACATACACATACCTACATGTTGTTGTTGTTAGCTGCCGTCCAGTCAGTCCCAACTTATGGCAACCCCATGCACAATGGGATGAAAGGCTGTCCATTACTGCATCATCCCATGATAGGTTATGGATTGGATCTTTGTGATTCATAAGGCTTTCATTGGATGATTCCCAGAAATAGATTAACAAGCCTTTCTTCCTAGTCCATCTTAGTCTGGAAGCTCTACTGAGACCTTTTCAGCATCATAGCAACACACAAGCCTTCACTGGCAGCTGGGTGGTAGCTGTGCATTGGCAGGGAATTGAACCAGCCTCCCACATGAAAGGCAAAAATTCTACCAGTGAAGCACCACTGCCCCCC